CTACTCAAAAGGTGCTCCCAGAAATATTTAAAATATTACCCACAACTTCACTAGGACAGACAAAAACTAGAACTGGCAGTGAGTACAGAAAATACACCTTTAAGCAGAGAAGACATGGATCAAAATGTATTTAAGTTACATGGAAAGGACCTTTAGAGATTCTACGATTTGCACACACTTTCAAAACGGCTAACATGAAAAACGGCCACTACTGCTTTCCCTTCTGTCAACTGATCAACACGAAAGTACTGTTTAGAAGCATTTAAGACATTATCGCCGGGCGCGGTGGCTCAAGCCTGTAATCCCAGCACTTTGGGAGGCCGAGGCGGGTGGATCACAAGGTCAAGAGATCGAGACCAACCTTGGTCAACAAGGTGAAACCCCGTCTCTACTAAAAATACAAAAAATTAGCTGGGCATGGTGTTGCATGCCTGTAATACCAGCTACTCAGGAGGCTGAGACAGGAGAATTGCCTGAACCCAGGAGGCGGAGGTTGCGGTGAGCCAAGAACGTGCCATTGCACTCCAGCCTGGGTAACAAGAGCGAAACTCCATCTCAAAAAAAAAAAAAAGACATTATCACATTTATCACTATAACTACAAAGGTGTTCTGCCATGTTCAGGCCACGAAACATTCTATTTTGCATGAGTTTCTATTTGAAATTCTACCAGTAGACTGCTGAGAATATCAGGACATACCCATGAAATGTGAGTTTCATCAAAATGTAAATGAAATTACCTATCAAAAGCCAGATCAAAATTAAAAACCTAGAATTAAATCTATCTTTCATTAGACCAAACTGGTTTACAACTACGGTTTAAGCAGTTATGTCTTCATGCATACTATGTTTTAACTGTACCATATCCCAGTAGTTTAATAAATGGTTGACTTTTCTTACTTTCTGGTACTATTCTCCACCACCTTCTCTTCAACCTCTACCTTCAGTTATGGTATCTGACCCAAAGCATGGCTCTACTAGATGAACTGGAATCCAGCTACAGACACTGCATAAATATTTGGAATTTAGGCTGAGCTACCAAATTGACACTCCAAAATTCGCTGGCAGCTGATTAAATAACCATGTCCCATTCTACCACACAAACTAAAGTGAAGATTGGAGAATGCAGGCCAAAACACATTCCACACTCAAGACTGAATTTTCCTTTGTTTTATGAGTTTAGTTAATTATGCTTAAAAATAGCCAACTGAATTCCGTTTTTCTTAGATGTAGGCCAAATTAACAAAGACACTTCTTCCTATGGTTAAGAATGTGCATACAAGGGAATTTTCTAGAATAAGCCTTGATCTTTTGAGTTTAGTTTGGTGTGATGTTTAAATAGCACAGCTTCAAAGGTGCAAACAAAAGACAATGCCTTGTCTTGGTAATTGAGAATCTCTGACCTCTTGGTGAATTGAAAAGCCTGATTGTTCCTCTTTCAGAAACAGCTTAATACAACAAAAATAGTGCAAGCAACAGGATTAAAGGGGAAGATGCTGGGGACTCTCTTTCTGAGGCTGTGGGCACCATCTTTGTTAACTTATCCTCCCAAATCTATGTTCCGTGCTTTAAGAGACAGGTGCATCCTGGATACTGGGTGCTCACTTTACAGCTTAAAGTTATAGGGAAAAGACAGCAAGGAAAAAGGTTACTTCGTGCTTGCTGGCAAATTTGCTGACCCCACTTTCCATCAGTTGGTCCCCAGCATGTCCCCTAAGATACAGGCAGGTCTGAATGCCCTGATCCTGGATGCGTTTCTCATTATATACCACAGTGTGAGGCACAACTGGGAAGCTGGTCTATGCAGAGTCGGGCAGAGTGGAAAATAGCCTCCCTGGAATTCAACTGCTCAGTTAAGTTGATTCACCAACTTCAGAAGAGCTGTTATAACAATCCCATATCCCCAAGAATCTGCGAGCAGTAGCCAAGTTGGTCCTGCTTGAGCCTACTTTTCCCTCCCCAATATTTTATGGGCATTTCACATATGGAGGATCTGGATGAGGTTTAAGAGTCTCATGAAATTCTTCTACAAAATCACTGCCTGTATTAGTCTACCTTTACACTGCTATAAAGAACTTCCCTGAGACTCGGTAATTAATCAAGGAAAGAGGTTTAATTGACATAGTTCTGTATGTTTAAGGAGGCCTCAGGAAACTTACAAGGGGAAGAGGAAGCAGGCACCTTCTTCACAAGGCAGCAGGAGAGAGGAGTGAAGGAGGAACTTCCAAACATTTATAAAACAATCAGATCTCATGAGGACTCATTCACTATCATGAGAACAGCATGGGGAAAATCACCACCATGATGCAATTACCTACCCACCCTCTACATGTGGGGATTACAGGTCCCTCCCTCAACCCGTTGGGATTACAATTCAAGATGAGATTTGAGTAGGTCACAGAGCTAAACCATATCACTGCTTTAGAAGTTCATAGGTAAGATTAATACCCTTGTTTCCAGAATGACCATAGTTTCTAAAAAGAGATCTACAGTTGAGGATGGTGTTTTGGTTAGCCCAGACATCTCTCCTTCCCTATTCAGGTCACAAGTTATCACTGAGGTATTTGCACCACCCTTGCATATATTTATGGTGTAAGTCCACCTAAAAATGCCTAGGGATTTTGTTGTAATAGCATGTTAGATCACTGTGAGATCATCTTGAATCTTGAATTCAGTGGGCACACATGTCTATGCCTCTCAGTGTGTGTGTGTGTGACCCTGTGCCCATACACTATTCATCTTGGTTCTCTTTTCTGTTAGGTATTATTACTATTTACCTCTGATTTTGTGGTTTTAAGAACCTGTATTAACGCAAGCCAAGTTTCCTGACACCACTCCCAGTGCGGAAATAGAACTGCTTTATCCCTGGCGGTGATATCTCTTCTGGCAAAGGCTATACAACTAAGTGGAAATGCTCTAGTGAGAATTCAGACATCCACTGTGTGGCTGAAACTTTGAAGTCTACTCAAACCTAGACAACTGAAGATTCTATATCTTAGTATCACATGGTTTACTGTAAGCTTTGTTGGGGGATGTATAAGTATTTTAGATAATTCAAATATCTAAAAGTAGTGGTTCTGGAGCATTTAAAAAAATATGAATGCCTAGGTCCATATATTTTATTTCTATTAGTAGGGAGTAGATCCCCGATTGAAAACATCCCAGAAATTCTGATGTGCAGCTAGCGTTGAGAACTAGTGATCTAGTTGTTTCATTTTTTATTCCTCTCATGATAAAGAAAGCTAAAATCTAAAGCCAGTTTCTTAAAGTCACATAGGGTAGTGAACAGGTGTGATGCTTCTAAAGTGAATGAGTGCATACCATATCATGTTTCTCCACAAAGATAACATCAGCAATTTGGACAATTCTTTATGATGTGGGATTTCAGGGATCTTGAAATTTTGATCCCTTGCCCTAAATGCCAGCGAGCTTCCCAGTCATTGTAATAATCTTCCAAATGCTCTGTAAGTGGCTGAGAACCATTCAACTTGTGTAACTGGCTCCAAAGGCAATAACTATTTCAGCTGAATTTCAGCCCTCAAACATTTACTTTTAGTTCCTGAAATGGTGGCCTGGAAATTTATCAAGGATCTAACAGACAAATTTTAGGTTTTAAAGTGGTTGTTACCCCTGAGATGAAAAATTTTAAAAAACTAAACACTTAAATTATATATCATTGATTAAACATGGCATTTATCTCATTTCATTCATTTTGTTGTAATGAAGTTTTACCTAGCTCTCTGTCTCTAAAATGAAATGTCAGAAGTGCATACTGACAGATTCCAACAGTTGATTAACCACTCCTCACTGTCTCTCCTCCCTCTACCAAAAAACAAACAGAACTGAAAACCAAAACCAAACAAACCCTATAGAAAGAGCAGTTGTTTGAAATTGAAGTTTTAAATTATTGTGAAGGTTTTTTGTCTGTTTAATTAATACTCAAATGGATGTGTGGGAGGATGAGACTATCAATAAATCGTAGTCCCTTGAAAGCTAAATTCCTAGGATTCCAAGGGCTGTTACTAGTAGCAACTTTTATGACAAAGTTTTTCCACATATTCTTTTTGCACAGGTGCAAGATACTTCACTTTCCACAGATTTTCATATCCACCAACCAACCTGTGAATATTTACAAGTATTTGACTTTAACAAGGGCAGAGACTGCTGAATCTTGGGTGGCACTGGATAAACTATCAATGAAATGGACAGAATAGGTCCTTTGGGTAGATGGAATCTATCCAGGCCACTTTAGGTATGGGGAGAAAGGGGGATGCTCAGGTTTACTGAAGTTAGTTTATGTCGCAAGAGCACCTCCCACCAGAACTATGCTATGGGTCTTGGATTGTGATCTAAAGAAATTCTAGAAAATGACTGTATTTTAATGATATCCTGGAGAAAGACTGTATTTTTTTTCCTACTCAAAACAATTCACTTATCATATTTATAGAGTATTTCCTGTTTTGGAGGTAATCTATTGTAGAGGCGAGGACTCTAAGCAATAAGTTTGATTAGCAATACACAACTTCAAGTATAATAAATAAAAGTAGAAATGGCAGGTATGGTGAGAATATGGTCAAATAGAGTAGGATGGGGGTAATTATTTCCTAAATGAACTAAGATCTAATCCAATCTCATGCTTCCAAGCATATCTCTATAGACAAAACACATCTGCATTACAACACATTACTTAGTGTTCGTGAGGGTCACATTTCATTTCCCATATTTTTTCAAATATTTATTGATGTCAAAATTATCTTGTTAGTTTGATGTAACCTGGCAAAGGTACTTTACAAATTTATAAACTTTTTGGAAGTGTGACCAAAATGTGAATGTCCAGCTTTTGGATAATAATAGTTAACTACTGAGAAATAATTATGAGACATGTAGTCCATTTTTATATTCAATATGCCAATTATTTATCAAGAAGAGACCAACAGGATGAAAAAATGGAAGCAAAAATTAAAATAATTCATACAGAAAAAAGACACACTTAATATCTTACCTGAAATATTTTAGTGGTTGGGCTTCTTATTGAATTTGATAGTGGTAAGATGAGTTGTGTCTTTTTAAAGAAATAAGCAGTCTTCAGTGTTTTTATAGCATTGGTTACTACAGAAATTATACTTCTTTTACTTCTTGTCTTGAAGGGTGAACAAAATAAACAAACTGAAAATACTACAATGAATGGTAAATGATGAAAGATTTACAGTACAAAAAACAGCGTAAAAAGGAAGACAAGTTTAAATATTGTTGTGTAAGAAAGTGATGAAAATAATACAAGAATGAGAATAAGTAAAATGATAGGCTGGAACATCTGGGAAGGTAAACGCAAAGACAAAGAGAAGAGTTAATTAATAATAATTTTTAAAACTTAAATTCATAACAACTAATTTAAGCATTCATTCAACTTAAGATAAAAAAAGAACCCCCACTCTCCCTTAAGTCTATAGCTATAAAATCTGAAAGCTTAATATTAGTTATACACTGTACTTTCTCTTACTCTAATTTCTATTATTTTCCCTGAGGGTATAACTGAAAACTTATCAAAATTCAATGTTTTATCATAAAATGATATTTATTCATAGCAAAGCGGAGCAACATGCAAGATAAATAAGCAATAGGGTTGCAATCTGTACCAACAGGCAGTTAATTTAAAATCATGCTTCTGTATGTAAACTGGCTTTTAAATGTCTTGCGTGTCTTAAAAGCCATGCATGCTGTTGTACTTCCGTGGGTTCTCCAATGGATACAGGACATCAGGCTTGCCAGAGGAAATAGCATTGCCTGTTTTATTTCATAAATTATCTTTCATGTGGTTAATTCTGACAAAATGCATTGGTTTTTAAATGGCCACCATACCTGGCCAAAGCAGCTCAGTCCAATTCATCCGGTGTGCCTCTACAAATCAGGATGGAGGAAAAATGCTGGTTTTCCCTGTTCTGGAATAGTTATTACTATTTCTCTGAATTAGTGTTGCCTTCAAGCTACTGTATAGACTTCTTCCCCACTCCTGAGATTCTCCACTATACAACTGAAAGTGATTTTCTCTGGAAATAATGATCATGTTACTTCGACTTAAGGTAAAAAAAAAAAATGGCTTTCATTTGTTCCTTTCTGGGAGGTTGTAGACACAAAATCATGTCTCTTTGCCACTGGTTTCTACATTGATCAGCAGTTATCCATTAATTTGGTTTTATTTAATTAAATTAATTTATTTTTTGAGACAGAATTTCACTCTCACCTGGGCTGGAGTGCAGTGGCACAATCTTGGCTCACTGCAACCTCGCTCTCCCAAGTTCAAGCGATTCTTCTGCTTCAGCCTCCCAAGTAGCTGGGATTACAGGAGTGCACCACCACACCCGGCTAATTTTTGTATTTTTAGCAAAATGAGGTTTCACCATGTTGGCCAGGCTGGTCTCGAACTCCTGACCTCCCGCACTCCTCAGCCTCTGTGATTACAGGCATGAGCCACAGTGCCTGGCCGTCAATTCTGTTTTATTTAGTTTTAGTTTTAGTTTCTCTTTCTTTCTTTCCTTTTTTTTTTTTCTTTTTCTTTTTCTTTTTTTTTTGGACAGGCTCTCACTCTGTTGCCCAGGCTGGAGTGCAGTAGTGCAATCACCACTCACGGCAGCCTTGATCTGCCTTTGGCTCAGGTGATCCTCCCACCTCAGCCTCCTGAGTAGCTTGGATTACAGGTGCACGCCACCACACCCAGTTAATTTTTTGTATGGTTTGTAGAGACGGATCTCGCCTTGCTGACCAGGCTGGACTTGAACTCCTGAGCTCAAGCGATCCGCCCTACTCGGCCTCCCAGTCTAGTCATTAAAAAAAACCCTAAACTCAATTTAGATCTTGGCTCAAAAACCACAGATCAGCAGTTAAAGATTCCTGTTCAGGACCATCTTGCAGTTCCATCTGCTAGCAGAGTAACAGAGAAAAAATATTGACCTGCTAAAATAATAATGTGCCTCAATATCCTTTACTCTTTCCACAGAAGTTGAGGGTACCGGTGTTGAGTTTTCCTTTTAAACAAAACAAGAGGAAGAAATGGTGACTACGTGATGGAGTCACAGAAACCTCAGGTCTGCAGAAGGAGAGTGTGGAAGAACGGGTGGGCCGGCCAGGGGCTTTCAGGCCCCAGCGCGGCCCTGAGCGGAGGGGCTTCCCTCAAGCGGGGCGCGGCAGTCCGGGCGCCGAGACGCCCCCCAGGGACGCGGCTCCGCGGGCCAGCCTGGCCACCGCCGTGGCTCGCAATAGGCAGAACTGTACCTGACTCACGGAAATGGGCTCCTCGGCGCCGCGGTCGTCCGCAGACTTGGGCACCTCGAGGCGGTCGATGAAGGTCTGCAGCTCCTTGCGGAAGGCCTTCATCTGCGCGTTGATGCGGTAGAGCAGCTCGTGCTCGCGGATGCGGCTGCCGTCGTCCTCCTCGTCCATGAGTCCGAACAGGTCCCCGTTGGCCACGTAGATGCGCGCCTCGGTGATGATGGTGCTGGTGTCGGCGATGAGCCGGTCGATGGTCTTGCCCAGGCGCTCGGCCTCCGAGCGGATGTCCTTCATCTGCTGCCGGTCGGAGAAGCTCTTGGGCCAGGGCCCCGGCGCGGGGTAGAAGGAGCGGGTGGGCGTGAGGCAGCGGATGTTGCGCACCTCCTCCGAGTCGCTCTCGCCGCCGATGGGCCCCTCGCGCTTGCGGTGCGGCGGCCGCGAGTCGTCGTCGCTCTCCTTCTTGCCCGCGTCGCTCTCGGCGTCGCTGTCTCGGGGGCTGCCGCGGATGCCCAGGTGCGAGGCCAGGTCGTAGCGCTGCATGTTGGACATGAGCACGCGGTTCTCGTACTGCAGCTGCATGACCTTACCGCTGAGCTCGTTGATCTGCAGGCGCGCCGCCTTCAGCTCCTCCTGCAGGGCCTCGGTCTTGGCGTTGTCGTGGTGCCGCGCGCTGTCGTGGCCGCCGGACTTGTACTTGTACTTGTTGAGCTCCGCGGTGATGCGCTTGTTCTGCTCCTCCAGGTCCGCCACGTTCCTCCGCAGCAGCTCGGTCTCGTCCTCCACCAGCTGCAGGTGCTGCCGCAGCTCCGACAGGGATTCGCTCTGCTCCCTCATGAGCGGGTTGGCCGAGCCGTTGAAGTCATCGCCCCTCAGGTCGTCCAGCTCCGCCTTCAGGCCTCTGTTCTCCACCTCCAGTTCGACGATTTTCCTGCCCAGGATGTTGGCTTCTTCCTCCACCAGCCTTAGCCGTAGCTTGAGCTCAGCCTCCCTGGTGCTGGGAGGGCCCCCGGCTTCTCCTTTGGGCAAAGGACTGTCCAGATCCCCATAGAAGGATCTGTACTTCTGGAGCTCGTGTTCGAATCTGTCCTTCTCTTTATCAATCTTGGCCATTTTCTTTCTCATCAAAGCGGCTTCTTCCTTAACGAACTGCAGCTGGCACTTCAGATCTTCATTGTCCTCCTCATTTGGGGGAAAAAAGAGGAAAAAGGATAGGAGATCATTTTTATGTAAATCAAGGAACAACCAAATGAGGACACCTGGAAAAATAATTTCTTTTTCTTGCAATCAAGATTTAATGACAGAGAAACAGAAGTAGATACTGTGTATTTTCTTCAGATCGCTTAACTCTTTTGGCAAATTAAAGATTAGAACAATATTACATCCTGGAAGCAAAAAAGGAGAAGTAATATGAAAAGAGAAAAACTGTGGTCATCACCATTGAGAGGCTATTATATGTTGTAGCTGCATACAACTGTTTGATGATCTGATTTCAGCAGTTTTTTTTTTTTTTTTCGTTTTGTTTTGTTTCATTATTGCAGTAATAAATATACAAGCTGTTCAAGGAGCATGTGGTTCATATGCATTTGCTGCCACTTTTTTTGTCACACTGAGCCAACCAAGTTCTGTAAATTGTTTTACAAATATGACCTAATTTGATATTCAGAGTAAACTTAGGAATAGGCATTAAAATTCCTGGTTTAAAGATATTCAGTAACTCTTTCAAGGTTACACAGCTAGTGAATAGCAAAGGACAAAGGTGAAATTTGAATCCAGTTCTGTCTAAAACGAATGTTCAGGCTCTTGATTTCTGTGCCACTTAGAAAATAATCTGCCCCCTGTTTTTATTCAAAGGAGAATTGTTTTAGAGGCCTTTAAATCAGGAAAGTTTGGTACTGGAATGGTCTATCCAGGGATAAACTGTTATCGGTTTTCCATCTAAATCACATTTAAATTAGGATGTACTCCCATCTGTCCGAAATGGATAAAGTTGGTTCAGCCTGGTGAAAGGACAGTGGAACTATAGAAGTTATTCTCACATATTCTTATGACAATCTCAGAGTCCAATCATTAACTAAATTGAAAAGTACAAAAGGAGAAATGGAAATCTTTCTCTGAGGGCTATTACAGAAGCATGTTATTATGTCTAAGGACATATCTCCCAAGGACAGTTTCTCAAACTATTACGTTATGAGCCAATCATGTAACTTGTGAACTTTGGTTTATTCATTTAAAAAGTAAAAATAAAAATTCTTTCTTTACCCAGTACTCAGTCATCTGTGTTTGAGATGCATTCTGGTAAAGAAGGAGCAACCACTGGTGAATAAGGTGAGGAGAATAATGAACTTCTGCAAGAGATGCTCAGTAAATACTGCCCAGAGCCTTTGAGATGGAAGAGATGGAGAACAGGGCACAGGCCTCCTGTCTTTCTATCCGCTAATGGGAATACGAAGGGTTTGAGAGCTGCTGGGTGTGCAGAGCCTGAACATCCTATTCCATTCCATATACAGTATTATTAAATCCTTATATCAGCCCTTCAAGACAGGTGATGCTCTCTCCCCTTTACCAATAGGAGAGATTTATTAACATGGCAGTGCACAAGTGAAAGAGCACAATCTGTATTCAGGCTGAGTCCCAAACTCATATTCCTTCTACTGCACATGTTGCCTCTAGAAAAGAAGCATAAAAGAAGAAAAATAGGGCAATGGGGTAAAATCAAAGAAATAAGATGTGTTGGCTTGTACACTTTCCTCTAGAAGAGGTTTAGAAGAAAGGAGAGAGGGATTGCCAGAAGAGATGAGAAAGCCTTAGCAGCATCCAGAGAGGAGGAAAAGAGGGTGTGTCATGGAAATCTTTGATGGAAGAATTCGTTTCACAAGGGAAGAGAGAAGCTGCCTGCAATATATATGTGTTGGGATCCTCCCACTAATTCAGTGAGGATGAGACCAAGGACATATTACAATGCTTCAGATCACATCACCAGTGGAATCATAGATAACCCTGAATTTTTGAGTTGAGGTGTCTCATTGGATTGTATGGCCAACAGCAAGGATAGAGAATGAACAAAGAGAAGCATTCCATCTAGATCATTTTAAAAATAAGATGTACTCCCATCAGTCTGAAATAGATAAAGTTGGTTCCGTCTGGTGAAAGGATAGTGGAATGAAACCTGCAGAAGTTCTCATACATTCTCATGACAGTCTCAAAACTCAACCATTAATTCAATTGAAAAGTACAAACGGAAATGGTTTTGTATGAAGAATATGGTTAAGTTTTTAAGAATGTTGTCTGTGAGGCGTTTTGGTGGAGGGATACGGGGTGGAAACATCCATTAACAGTCATGTTGAATCTCAGGCTCATGATTAGGTTACTATGATTACATCTTGGCACTTAGAGCTCAGGTCTGGAAGTGAGGCCATGTGGATGAGAGGTATAGAGGTGATGGCTGAAGCTACCATAATGGTCACAGACGCAACCAACAGAAGAAAAGAAAGGGAGATCGACAAGAAATGGTCAAAGGTTTGGGAGGGAAAGTCTAAGGTCATGCAGGCCAATAACTAGAAACAACGTTTGAACAGAAACACGACCAACAATGTCAAATATGCTTTTACATAGGCTAGCTTTTATTTGACATGTAAGAGTGGATACGACTGGGAAGCAAGGTAGGGTTACATGTGGTAGAAATCCTTGATTACAAGGCAAGGCCTTTATTTGCTAGTATAAAAAAAAGTTGGCATAGGTCACAAATTGAATCTAACCAAAACAGCAGTGGGTGTGATACAAGGCAGAAACTGAAGCAGAATAACATTTCACTGGGCTATGTTAAGCAACTAAAAAAGAGAGGAATATCTGATTTGTGTATATGTAAGCTCTCCTGCCCAAAAGAATGAAAACAATTATTTTAACACTTGGACATAGACTGCATATAATAGACTTATTATGAGGGAAGGAGCTGCGTCAAGGGCTGATGGGCATGGTAATTATTTCACTTATTTAAAAATAATTTTTTTCAAGATACAAAGTGTGCTTGTTTTTGCAATGCTAAAAGTTTACAACCTTGTATGCCAATACGGCTTGCATCCTCATCTTGTAACCTAACTATTGTAGGCTGCATTGGAAACTTGGCATAGAAGTATCATATATAATTATTGAAAGAAATAGGAAATTGCATGCAAAATGCCTGGTCCGCAGTAATTGAGCAGTATATACTTGTTCCTATTTTCCACAGTGAGTGGTAGGCAAGAAAAATGAAAATGCTCTGAGGTATGACGTAAGTTACTTCTTATTTTTGTGTATGGTAAAGACTCACTCATAAGAAGATGTGAATTATATGTGAAGAGGGGACCATAAAGATATGATGAAGGCCAGTAAGAAATGAGCGAAGCCTGGCTTTGACTTTAAGAGCCACTACGAGAAACTAAATTGCATTCTAATCAATTACATATGTTAAGTCATTTAGTCTGTACAACACCTCTTTATTACGATTCCAATTTTATAGATGAGGAAATAGAGGCACACAAAAAAATAAGTAATGGGCCCAGGTTCATACAGCTAGTGTATGCCAGGGATTTCAACCTAGGCAGCCTGGCCCTAGAGCTACAGTTATTAACTGCTGTGCAATATCATTTCTCTGTAGATAAAGTCACTTCGCTGCAGGAGGAACATGTGAGGAAGTGATCAAAGAAGGTGAAGCAAATTAACAAAATAAAATACAAAGCTAAACGAATAATAGAGGGCGGGACCATATGAAATTGCCATTTCTGGCAGCGTGTGGTGGCTCACACCAATAGTCCCAGCACTTTGGGAGGCTAAGGCGGGTGGATCATCTGAGGTCAGGAGTTTGAGACCATCCTGGCCAACATGGTGAAACCCCATCTCTACTAAAAATACAAAAATTAACTGGGCATGGTGACACACACCTGTAGTCCCAGCTACTCGGGAGGCTGAGGAAGGAGAATCACTTTAACTGGGGAGGTGGAGGTTGCAGTGAGCCGAGATTGCACCACTGCACTCCAGCCTGGGTGACAAGAGTGAGACTCTGTCACCAAAAAAAAAAGAAAAAAAAAAAAGAAATTGCCATTTCTGTAGATCAAATTCAATAGCATATTGGCAATTTTGTGTGGTTTAACCTAGAAAAAGGAGACATGGGAGTATTTAAAAGCATGTATTGAACATGTGCAGAGTGCCAATCACTAGACACAGATGATTCAAAGCTGAGTAAGATGGCCCCTGTATACAAAAATGCCCTGGTGAAGTAGGAGAGATGAATACATAAACAAGAATTACAATAGAATGTTATATTTGCAGTAATACAAATACGTGGATTGATGGCCCGCAACCTTGACTGAGCAATGGAATCACATTATAATTTTGTAAAAATGGACCATTTTATAATTGAGATATCCCATCGGAGATAGCCTGATCAATC